TCCTGGAAGGGCAAATCTAGGAGGTGATGCTGGGTGGGGATCTTGTTCAACACCTGGCCTGTGGGGTCCCTCAAGGTTCTGTTTTGCCCCCTATACTATTTAATATATATAGGAAACTACTGGGAGAGGGCATCCAGAGTTTTGGAGAGTAGTGCCATTAGTATGTGGATGACACCCAACTCTACTATTCCTTTTCACCATGATACAAGGAGCTTGTTGTGGTCCTAAACCAATGTGTGTCATCAGTAATGGACTGGATGGAGACAAACAAACTGAAACTTAATCCAGACAAGACAGAGGTGCTCTTAGTCAGTCACAAGGCAGACCATGGACTAGGTATTCAGCCTGTGTTAGATGGGGGTCACACTCCCCCTGAAGAAATAATTTTGCAATTTGGGAGTACTGAACTCAGCTTTGAACCTTGAGGCCAAGGTTTCTGCATTGACCAGGAGTGCTTCCACACATCTGAAGCTAATGCACCAACTGTGCCCATTAGTTATATCACTTTGGACTACTGTAAGGCACTCTACTTGGGGCTGCCTTTTAAGTGTCTGGAAACTTCAGCTGGTCCAAAGAGCTGCAGCCAGACTGTTAACTGGGGCAGGTTACAGAGACCATACTATACCTCAGTTAAAACAGCTTCACTGGCTCCCAGTTTGCTTCCAGGCATGATTTAAAGTGCTGGTAATGAACAATAAAGCCCTATATGGCTCAGGTCCAGGATATTTGACAGACCACATCTCCTTGTATGAGTCAGCCTGGGCTCTGAGATCATCAGGAGAGGCCCTTCTCTCTTTTCCACCACCATCACAAGCATGGTTGGTGGGGAAACTGAGATGGCCTTCTCAGTGGTTGCCTCTAGACTCTGGAACTCCTTTTGCAGAGAGGCCAGAACGGCCCCCTCCTTGTACTTCCAGCAGCAGGCTAAAATCTTTTTATTTAGACAGGCTTTTAAACTAGAAGGTTTGTAAAGAATGGGCTAGAGGGTGCTGGATTGTTTTAACTGGATTGTTGGTAAGAGTTTTTTTTTGTGTGTTTTTTAACTGTACACTTGTCCCCCACTGTTCATGGACTATTCGCATCCCTTGGTCTTTTGTGGATGGCAAGCACCAAGGGACAAAATAGTGCATGAGCAAAGCTGTGCGCTGGAGCACACAGCCATTACGGTATATCCTATGGGACTTCAATATTTGTGGTATTTCTGATTTGTGATGGGGCCAGAATGGGTCCCCTGAGAATCAGGAGGGATGAGTGCACTTTATTGTTTTAACTTGAAGCTGAATTGTTTTAATACTGTACATTTTTGTTGTTAGCTGCCCTCAAGTGAACTTCAACTCATGGTAACCCTGTAGATGAGATATCTCAAAGAATCCCAATCTTCCACATCCTTGCCCAGGTCCTGCAAGCCCTTGCCCTTACCTCCCCCTGACTGAGTACATAGAGCGAGCTTGTAGCACCTTTGAGACTAACTGAGAAAGAAATTGTCAGCGTGAACTTTTTTTGTAAATTTCAGTCTCCTGGAGTCTACGAAAACTCATGCTGCCAATTTATTTATTTCAGTTAGTCTCAAAGGTGCTACAAGGTCTCTCTATGTACTGATTCTGCAGACTAACATGGCTATATCTTTGAATTCTACCCCGATTGAGTTTATCCATCTTGTCTGTGGTCTTCCTCTCAATCTCAACTTGATCATTTTTGCTTCCAAGGAAGGATCTAGTCTGATCTGTTCAAGACCCATCTGTTTGTCTTCTTGGCTGTTCACGGTATCCTAAGCACTCCTCTCCAGCACCAAATTTTGAATGAGTTGATTTTCCTTCTGTCTGCTTCCTTAACTGTCTAGCTCTCACATCCATACATAGTAATTGGGAATACAATGGTCTGAATGATTCTGACTTTAGTGCTCAGTTGTATGTCTTTGCTCTTCAATATTTTTTCTAGTTCTTTCTTAGCTGCCCTACCTATTCCTTGTCTTTTTCTTACTTCTTGACTGCAGTCTCCATTCTGGTCAAAGTTTGATCCTAGATATGGAAATTCTTTATTTCAGTTTCCCCATTGGCTAGATTGAATTTGTGTACTTCTTCTGTGGTCATTATTTTGTTTTCTTTATGTTCAGCATCAGACCTGCCTTTGCACTTTCATCTTTGACCTTCCTTATTAACTATTCCAATTCTTTAATGTCTTCTGCTAATATTATGGCATCATCTGCACATCTTAGGTTGTCGATGTTACTTCCTTCTATCTTCACTCCTCCTTTTTCTGATTCTAATTCTGCTTTTCCTATGATGTTTTCAGCATATAAGTAGGATGGTAGGATGCAGCCTTGCCTGACCCCTTTTCCTATTGTCAGCCACTCTATGGGCCTCGGCAGACGGCTAATTGAGCCGTCTTCCGGGCCCTGAA